GTGTGCGTGTGCGTGTGCGTGTGCGTGTGCGTGTGCGTGTGCGTGTGTGTGTGTGTGTGTGCGTGCGTTCATATGTGCGCGTATGTATGGACTTACGTTTATGTCATCGGCAGTGTGGTCACGAATGCGCACATTTTTTGGGCGAGAATTCTTCATTGATGCGCCCGTTTGTCACGGTGTGTTGTTTTGCGTTGTTATGGCATATGCTGTGCATTTCATAGGAGGGTTGTACAGGTGTGTGTGCCAAGGCTTGCACATCGACTTCCGGGGCGCCGTTGCCAGAAACATCGTAGTTCCATGGTAACGATAGCACAATTATATAACACCCAAGGAAAATATTACGATTAACCTGACAATGGCAGCCCCTCGGTTGATACTGTTTGTTCAAAAGTTCGTAGTAGAGGTTCTACGCGGTTGTTCGACTGGCAATGATTGGTATGTCGCGTAACGCTTACCTTAGGGCGACGGCAGGATTTTTCTCACCAATTATTTGTGACAACACGCTTGCACGCGTGTATGACACGGGTTGGTGCGATTTGATGTGGTAGCGCCACCTGCTGTCAACCTACGATACCACTACCTGTGAACACACTCGATTTCTATACGAATGAATATTTATTGAGATCTTAGAGTAAAACACGACTCCGTCTAGGATGTGTAACACACAGTTATATAGCTGGCATGTAGATATTTTAATTTAGATGTTGCTGCTAAAGACAAATGTTCTGGAATTTAGCCGCAGTTCTATGCATTCCCTCAAGTTCATATTCCCCACGTACGAGGCACACTAGTTATGATTAATGTACTTGAAGTGTATCCGTCCATAAGATGCATGCTTGTAAAATCAAGCCACTAAAACTAAACGCATGTCAAATTAAATGGCGACTGAATACGAACGCAAGTCGCAAGTGAATTTTGATTCAGCTCAGTATAAAGTAACGCACAGTATATAGGTAGCACAGTATTTCATAGTCGTATTGTGTTCAATTGCCTTCTATTTCGTTTCCATTGTATGAGTTTTTACACAGGGTTGTCACGTTTATTCTGTGCCAGGTTATGTATAAATTGAAAGCAATACTCGAGGCAGATTAATCGAGGTAATAAATAAGTATATGTGATGGTCATGTTGTGATACACATACGAGTGTTCGTACGTGTACCGCAATAAATAAGTGCACAGAGAATTTCATGACCTTCATGTACATCGGTTGGTGCATAATGTTATCTGGTGAAAATGTTTCATATTTTTGTAATTCTGTGATTCCAGTGTTGAAAGTTGTTTGAACAGAAAGTTTCTCAATGTTTCATGAATCTACATGCATGTGTATATTAGTTACTTACATTAAAACGTTCTCTAAGTAAATCTTATTTCGTCATGGAATTGAGTTTTAAAATAGCGCCATTTATTAAAAACGAGATACACGGTCACTTACACACACGTGGACACTTATAACATCTCTATCTATACATATACAAACAGTTTCATCATAACGTTATCAAGATTGTACAGAGAGCTTCTTGGACTTAAATTTCTTTGGATTGATGCCATATGCTTTTAACCTGTCAGCAGTAATCTGGTCTTTGCTTCGCTTGCCGCCTGTTGGTTTCTGCGAGTTCTTGATTTTCTTTACCTTTTTCGGATGCAGTGCATCATCTCCTGCGTCAGACACCAGCTTTCTCTTCTTTTTGTGCTCCTTGTACTCAGTCTCCTCTTTGTGGTCCTTGACCTGTACCTGCTTCTTTTGCTTGCACTCCTCACTTTGTACCTGCTGCTTCTTCTTCTTCTCCTTGCCCTGCACCTTCTTCTTTTTGTCCTTTGTACTCTGTACCTTCTTCTTTTTGCCCTTCTTGCCGTCACCCTGCTCCTGCTTCCCTGCCACGCGGTTCGTCTCAGCACATCGCTTTGTCGCTTCTCCGGACGCCTTCCCCGTCGCTTTCCCTCCGACCTCTTCAGCTGCTCCACTCAACGTCTCCGCCTGACCGGCGGCGGGCGACGCGACGACCTCCTCCACGTTGCTCTTCTTCTTCCGCCGCCGCCTCCTCTTCTTCTTCGCTGCACCCTCCTCCCCCTCCTCCGCGTACACGCTCGGCAGCAGGCGGCGTTTCTTTGCGACGTTGAGAGCCTTCTTGCGGAAGGCCTGTGCCTCGTACGCCTCTTCCTCGGCGCCGCGGTACTGCACGGCTTTCTTCAGCGACGCCCACGCGTTCAGCTCCTTGTCCTTGGCGCGCAGAATCTCGTCGAGCGTCAGGCCAAAGTCGTTGGCCGGCACCTCGCGGTACTTGAAGCGGCACGGCATGTCGCCGATCATATCCTCGCAGTCGAGGCTGTAGTACTCGTCGAAGTACGCCTGGAACGTCGTCGCGCGCGGGTCGAACGTCGGCTTGCGGCGGCGCAGTGCGCACGCCAGTGCCGTCTCGCGCCGTCGCGTCCGCCCGCCGCGCATGTGCTCCGACACCTCCTCCTGCCACGACGAAGATGACGGGCCGGGGGCGCCCTCTGTGGGTTCGGCATTTGTGGTCTCTTTGTCGGCGGCGCCCCGTTCGTCGTCGTCGTCGCCGCCGCCGCCGACCCACTCGTCCCAGTTCTCCTCGTATGCGTATTCGTCGTTGTCGTCGTCATCGGGCAGGAACACCGGCTTGGCTTCGTCATCGTCGCCGTCACCGTCTGCGTCATCGCCAAACATGCGGTGCATCATCGCGTCGTGCCGCGCCGCGTCGAAGTCCGCCTCCAGCTCGTCCTCGTCGACGGCGACGCCGTCGTCGCCGGCAACCGCGCGGATGCGCGCTACCTTGCGCAGGATCTCGCGCCGCTTGGCGTTCTTGAGCGTCTTGAGCGCCTCCAGGTGGCGCTCTCGCTCGCGCGCCTTGCGGTCGCGGCGCTCGTGGCGGCGGTCGGCGCGCGCCGTGTCGTGGCGGCGCAGCGTGTCACGCGGCGCGCGCGGGTACGAGTGAATCAGGTCGCCGTCCGGCTCCTCGAAGCGGAAGTTGTAGCGATGCTCAAACTGCTCCTGCCGCTCGACATCCGCCTCGTCCTCCGAGAGGTCCGGCTCGTCGGCGACGATCTCCTCGTACGTGGGGGCGCCACCGTCCCCATGCTCCGCCACGTCGAGGTATCCCTTGCCGAGGATGTAGTCCTTGAGGAAGGTCTCTCCATCGTCGAGGTCCGGCCGGTTCCAGTAGTCGCGCAGTCCGCTCAGCTCGACCCCGGCCTTCGCGTCCGAGATCTCGGCCGTCTGACCGCGCAGCCACTGACGGTATTCGTCCTCCTCCTGCCGCAGCTGCTCTCTTGTCTTCTCGCGCACCCGCAGGAGGTCGCCTTCACCGCCGTCGGAGTCTGAGTCGGAGGCGACGACGTTCTTGAAGCTCTCTTTGAGTTGGCGCTGCTCCTGAACGAACGTCGGGGAGCGCGGCCGTTCGATCAGGTGGTCGTCGGCGTCGTCCGAGGATTCTTCCTCGCTGAGTTGACCCTGCTTGTCGAGGATGATGTGTCGGTTGTAGTCGCGAATGTACATCGGCTTTTCGCGACGTCGATCCCTGCGCGGATTTCTCCCGTCAGAGGGCGCTGCATCATCGTCGCTCTCGTAGAATTTTGCATCCTTGTCGTAGATTTTCGGGTCTTTGCTCTTGAGAAGCGAGAGCGTCTTAAGGAAGTCGCGTTCGATCTGCGGCGTGATAGCTTCCGCATCGTCGTCCTCGCTCTCCGACGAACTGCTGCTTCCTGCGTCCAGTTTTCCAGCCAACACCTGCCAACACAGAGCAATCGCACTGTACATGATCAGTAACAATCCTCGCCGCTCGCGTTTACTTGCCATAACTTAAGTATCAACGTAAGTATTTGAATAGGACGTGGTCAGTGGTACTACACACTTCCGTATCCTACACTACATTCTACACAGTACATGATACTACACTTACTTAGATTAGATTACACACACGGTCACTGAGACGCCGTGTAATACGGTAGTCGGTACAGTGCGCAGGCAATACCACGCCAGCCTAGGTCGACTTACGGAAGTGGCATCGTCTCCATACCGCGCCTTTAGCTTCTCTATTTCTTCCTTTTCTCTCCAATTGTCATATCGATCGGCGTACTGCTCGTTAATGTGAAATCCACCATCTCCATCTTCACTGTCACTGCCAGAACTGTACAGAATTTTAGCAGACATGCTGCATCTGCGGCACTGATCTGCGGACGTTGAAAGCTGAACCAGAACATCGGTTAGTGCTGCTACGTAGTGAGAAAATCTAGAACTACGAGTAAAAATGACAGAGTGCTAGACTGACTACTGCCGTCTCAATACTCTGATGAGGTTCAGTTATTAAATTATGGAGGTGCCCATCCAGATGACGCCATCGGCAACAGTTCGCTTGTTTTACGACAGAGCGCTGCCATCTTCTCGTTTTTGTGTGCTGTAAAATATCAACTCAACTGTTTGCATATGCTGTTAGGTATATATAATGTTATTAGCTTGGTTTTAGAACTAGACGTACCTGGTGTATAAGAGAGGAAATATAAATAAAATTCTAATTAATGCGGTAGCATATTCATATTGTCGTAGTTGTGTAGAAATTCGAGTGTATTTACTGTACACAATACTGAATACACAGAAACAGGTGTACCGAGCGGCACAACGACAACGTGTACAGTAGACTAAGACTGTAGTCTGTAGCACAGCCACAGGCACTTGGAGCGTTTCAATAAAATATAATGCTAAATAAATACGAAATATATTTACTACCAAAGTCTTAATGTTTTTATACTCTCTTTCACCTATTATTGCCGACAATTTCCTGTAAATGCCGTCCAAATGCTTATCTGCAACAAACGCTGGCTGCCGCTGCACACTGACACATAAATATATAGCATAAATATATATCGTAACCGAGCTGTGTCACGCGAAATCACACAAAGCCTGACGAAATTCTCGCGTTCACTCCCGTTGCGCAGTTTATGTAAATGGCTGCAAGTACAGGGCTATAGGCGGCGCACTGCATTTTGGGAAACTACCACGCTGCTTTCCAACTTCTGTATGATTCCCGTCAAAGCCGCCAGTGGAGCGTTGCAAAAACTTTGCAGCGTTGTGGCGCAAAAATGAGGTCACAAAGAGCGCCGGTGGGTGTTTCCTGATTCCGACAGCCATTCACATAAACTGCGCAACGGGAGCGAATGCAAGAATTTCATCAGGCTTTGTGTGATTTCACGTGACACAGCTCGGTTATGAACACAGACAGTATGTTTTTATAACAAGTGAACACTGTTCTTCAAATAGAAACAAAGATGGAGTAGAATAGTTGAATATTTGTGTTGTATTTGTATGAAATCAAGCGAGCGTCGAGGGAATTTTGGCAGCACGCGTTCCTACCTGCTATATATTTATGTGTCAGTGTGCAGCGGCAGCCAGCGTTTGTTGCAGATAAGCATTTGGACGGCATTTACAGGAAATTGTCGGCAATAATATGTGAAAGAGAGTATAGAAACATTAAGACTTTGGTCAGAAATAGATATCGTATTTATTCAGCATTATATTTTATTGAAACGCTGTGGTGTGAAAGTGCCTGTGGTCTGTAGCGCAGGACATAGGTACAGTACGTTACCGCTCGCTTAGCACGACCACGGACCAGGCTCTACGACGTCGATTGTTTCACGTCGTAGGAGCCTGACACCCACCCTTCAATACGAAAAATCTTGAAGCTTAACACGTTCAACGCGAAACACGAGTATACTCGTTCGAACCTGCAAAACGCACGACCGCGAAACACGAGTATACTCGTGGCAAAAAAAAAAATAAAAATAAAAATTTATTTGGAACGTTTACTATGTTCTCCTATAGATGGCAGGGGCTATACGCTTAGCAATTCAATAGCGTCACTGTATAAACCCCAGTAGTAGATGACATAATTTATACAATACATTACTGTTGTTTGGAACGTTATTTTGGGAGTTTTTGGGACTGAGGTAATGCTTTTAGTTCACCTCGCCAAAGGGCGTTTGACCGTCGTGTGTTGTGAAGTTGTTTTTATGTCTGAAAGTTGTGTTTGATTTGATAGATCACGGGTGATAGATTCCGGTGTTGTTTTGATGTCTGAGAGTAAGTTTATATCTATATTATACTAGCCACTAATTATAAATAATTTTATAGCTAGTTAAACCTGCCAAAAACATTTTGTGGAATAGGTGACTAAGCGGTAAAAACGCGAAAATCTCAGCGCAGGGCGGTAGGTGCATTGTTAACCCAGGCAGCGTTGAACGTGTTAAAAACAAAACGCCGAATTTCGAAGATAATTTAAGTTTATAAATTATATTACCACATTTGAATATTGATTTGTTACATGCTGTGAGTATGTTCTCACTCATACTCTGACACATAGCACATGCCATAACTGGTATTTTCCTTGGCATTCATATCTCAACAGACAATTTAGGAAGAAGTTATTTTTGAAAATTGGCAAACTACTTGCATTACCGTGCATGTGCAAGAATTACACATGACTGCTAACTATGATGAATGTTTTTTAGATCAGACGTTATTGGTGATAATTTGAATATAATGGCACCTATTTTTTCTCATTGATATTTCAGGATTTTATTGCCACTCGGGCAATAAAATAAACTAGGGGAGGAGGACGTGGTGAGTGCGTTCGCATCATGTCACAGTTTAGTGGTGCACGGAAGAATCCACCATGGGCAACCTCTAACGCCGGTAACTAAATCATCAACTGAGATATTTTTGCTGTGATCATTGTTGTGCTAATCACGAATTTGATCCTTTTCATAAATCGGTTCTGTATGTCACCAGTGTAAGTGCGGTATGAGTTTAGTATATGGGCTGCTATCGCGTTTTTCGATTTATTGCTATCGACTGTATTTGGAGTTGGTCTTTGTATGTACTGTAACTGGTATATTTTTTTATAACTAACCACAGTTTTTGGAGTCGGGACCTTCAGGCTTCACCCTGTAAGCATCGGGTATACCATTATAAGTGAGATCAGAAAGTCCAGCTGTGCTATCTAGGTTACAGAAAAATGGGTATAAAATGGCCGAGGCGCGCTTAGGGAAGTACATGATTAATGTAAACACTCGTGCGTTTTTAGTTTTTGCATTAAAACAAACATTGCAAAATATCGCAAACGACCACAATCATATTTGTAAATGTTTATGTAAACAGAAACGCACCTGTGAATTGAAGTAGTACGATGTTAGTGAAGAGAATTATAGATCAAAAACCTAGAATAGTCCTATCCTACCCACGTTATAAAAGGGCAGTTTATACCCCCTCTTATCTGATCTCAATATGGCGACGGGGACTTTCCGATTTGGCTTATTGCATATCATTTCTTTAGTTGCAACCAACGCTCCTTGGTTTTAGCCTCCTCCCATCCCAATCTCATGGGATTATCGTGAGTACCACTATAGCAATTTTATCGCCTTGGTACAACCCACAGTCCTTGGGGTCGGTCCGCCCGCGCCAGGCCCACAGTTGAGCAACCACCTACTGCAGGCAGGTCTTGGAGTAGTACCAGCGTCATCAGCCTTGGGCAATTCGACTTCCGTCACCATGGCAGCAGCCGCCGGCCTAGCGCAGGCAGGTGGATACTCCACTCAGCAGCTGGTCGGTCTGCAAGGACTCTCACAAGTGCAGGTGATAATTATATTTTGTATTTTTAAATTTAGCGTAGCTCACATTCCACCGGAAAAGATCCTGTGTTCGCACTGCATCCTACAGATGTTAATCAGTGTTTATGCATTTTTTAAGTTTCCTTTATCTCTAGTTTCTGCCACCATAGTGTTTAACTATTAAGTGGCATTTTGTTTCTCTTTAACCCATTATTGGTATACCAGTGTTCTGGTTACGTTCATTTCCATCTCTTAATCTAATCATAAAGTCATGTTTCATGTTTCATCCTCGCAGTGGTTACATTTGTTATCAAAGTGGCCATGCAGATCTTATATCTCACGCTTGCTCTCACATTTATATTGTCGTCTCCTCCACGCAGACGAACGTGCTGCAGCAGCCCGGCGTCGCGATCCCGACTACACTCGCGACGAGCCAGGTGCCAACGCTCACCGTCAGCTACCCGACGCCGCGCGCCATGCAGCAGCAGCAGGCGCAGCAGGGCGCGCAGCTGCCTCCAGCTCAGCAGCAGCAGCAGCAGCCGAAGCAGCGCGTCTTCACGGGCAACGTGACAAAGATCCACGACGACTTTGGCTTCGTCGACGGCGATGTCTTCTTCCAGATGAGGTGAGTCGCGGGCCGCGTCGGTTACGGCGCAGGTCGTTGGGTTGGTTACACGTCGTCTGAAGGGAGAAGCGCGCCTGCGGCAGTCGTTCCTGGGACGCTTACAGGGGCAGGTATGCCAGGGACCCGTCGTCAGAAACGCGACAAATATTTACAACGAGACGAAGATGGTGTGACTCTTGACGCAAGGTTTCGTGCAGAGGTTGCGACGTTTTATACCTTGTGACTAAAACTTGTGACTTACGGGTTATAGTCACGAATATTTACTGATGTTTCTGATGGCGGTTATTTTGGCTCCATTACACTTGTGACAGTCATATCTGTGGTATCTGCGGAATGATGCGGGCCTGTAATTTGCCTGTCGGGCCTGTAAAATCCCTTACCTACAGGCCCGACTGGCCTGTACATTTTCAAATTAATTTCTACCCATGTGCATGTATGTGTGAATGAGAGTGCTACTCCGTGTCGCGATGTGACGCCGCGGATTTTTCTTGCAGCTGCGTTAAAGGACCGCCGCCTAAAGTCGGGGACAGAGTGCTGGTCGAGGCGAGGTTCAACGCCAACATGCCGTTCAAGTGGAATGCGATGCGCATACAAGTCCTTCCCCCATCCGTGAGTGCTTCGTTGTTATCCGCTCATGCCGCACGGTGCTGTCGCCATGATCTCGGGAGTAGTAAAACGAGATCGGAGTTAGCAAACGGTTCTGATGGGGGTTGGTTGGTGTATTTACTGCTCGCGAGTTTTGTGACTTGTCACAATTTTTTTCTATGTGAAGCGAGCGTTAACTTTTTATTTTGAACTTTTGTCTTTCGTGGGAAGCATTTTGTTATTTGTAAACAAATTGCAATGCTGTGTGGTGCCTCTAATTGATTTACCTTCTCTGACATTCTTATCCATCCAGTAGATCATTCAGACTAAATGACACTTAATTTAGACTTTATTCGACATGAACATCCATTCCACTACAGTAAAACTCGCATAAGACGCCATCGTCTAACTCGTCAATTTGCTGAAGTCGTCATGGAAGTCAAAGTCCCGATTTTCTCTAATGATAAATACATTTGAATAGCCCCGCCAAAGTCGTCATTTACAAGCCGTCATTATGTACAAGCCATCGCCCTCAGACAGGTCCCATGTAATACAAACAACAGTAAATGTATGTCGTTATCAGAAATGCCGATGGCGCAGTGTATGCAGCCCAATGTACAGCGAATTCCTGGTAAAATGCAGATGACTCATTGTTTCGCGGAAACACATATGCAGACACTCTCCAAGTCGTCGAAATGCCGGCTTTGTAAGTCGTCAAAATGATGATATACATGCATAAGTCGTCATTTTGGTGACTTACACATAAGTCGACAAAATGACGACTTACGCGTATATCGTCATTTTCGTATGTCGGCACAAAAATGCTGGTTCCAAAAGTGCCGACTTATGCGAGTTTTGCTGTACTTGTTACTTTTTTTACTACTGTCATGCACAATACCTATGTCACTGACTATTGAAATGTAATTACTTCATGTTGGGCATTTTGACTTTTTTGGCCTGCAATTTTTGCAATTCAATGGCAATCGAATTTATTAATTAATTATTGATTATTTTCAATGCGTTGCAGGCACAGGTGGCTGCGACTGACACAGATTACATGAATGAATGGGAGGCAAGGCAGATGTCGCTGGGAAAGTTTCTGGCAAGTACACTAGCGTTATGACTGACCGAGTCGATCCGTGTCGCGAATGTTTCCTTTTGTTATTCATTTCTTTCCTTTCTTTTGACAGCTCAAAGTTCAGTCTTGTAAGAGATTCAACTGAATGATTGTCAGAGCAAAGTAGTTAAAAGCCGTGTTGATTCGCTGGCTGTTGCCGAGCCTTGAACTCCAGTATAACTGTCATTCATAGAAAAATGCCAAAAGTATCCTATATAGACAGGAGCTTATTCTATAGAGGTGGTTCAACTGTATAACTGAAATGCTTAAAACTGACCTTTATAGACAGGTGTCTGTTCTATAGAGGTGTCCTTTATATACAGGTGTCTGTTCTATAGAGGTGTCCTTTATATACAGGTGTCTGTTCTATAGAGGTGTCCTTTATAGACAGGTGTCTGTTCTATAGAGGTGTCCTTTATAGACAGGTGTCTGTTATGTGGAGGCGACTGGTGACATGGGGGTTTCACTGTGTTGTAGGCGCAGCAGCAGTTGAGCAATCAGGCGATATCGGTGCCGGGCATGCCGACAATTCCGCCGCCCGTCATGAGCGGACCTCCGCCGCTCATGGGCCAGACCGTCGGTGAGTGATAGGTGGTGCCACCGTCTAGTATTGTTTCGACGCCATGACTCGTCGGTGCCATTGTCGACCGCGCTGAACGTGCTCAGAACGTCGCTCAGGAGCAGTTCTAATGAGAAGATTGTTCCTGCGGGTTCCGATGCCAAGACGAAGAGTAATGTCGGCGACGTGAACAGTAGAGGGTCTATACAAGGCTACAAGCGCGGGAATTCTAGGCGTCAATGATCGAAAAGATTTCCATGCTGCCGGTTCCGTAGCTAGTGTCGCAGCCTGATGCCTAGTGGTCCTGTCTCGAGTCTATGTCTTCCTACACTGTCCAGAGGTTTTTTTTGCGTCGGCAATATTTCCCTGCAGTGTGCGTGCAGGCGTTACAATGTGATAGACTGTAGCGCTGATCGTGAGGTTTACGACGGGTTTCTGACGGCGGTTCTCCGCGATTCGCACCCGCAGATCTCTCGCGCGCACGCGCTTGTATCTTTTGTCGGCTAACTAAGTTTGTTTGCTGTCCACGTAATGTTTTCCCCGCTGCGCAGGCGCCCCCTACGGACCGCCGCCGGCCGGACGCTTCAGCAACGTTGAGTCGAACTTCCCGCCGGCAAAGAGGAGGGAGCCACCAGTGCGCGAGATGCGCGAGGAGCGTGGGCGCGACCGGGAACGCGAGCGCCGCCGCGAGCGAGACGAGAGGGCGCCACCGCCACACAAGCGCTCGATCATAGCGGCTATCGCGAGCATCAGCACACGCGGCCGCGCAAGCCCCGCAGCCGCGCCGGCGGCGGCGCCACGTCCCGCGCGTCGTGCCAGCGCTAATCGCTCGTTCCAGGTGCCCAAGGTGTCTGCCGACAGGTGAGCCGTGGTAACGGGGATGAGCGGGGCTGGGAACGAGGATGGGCAGGGCTGGGAAGAGGGATTTGGTGGGCTGGGAACAAGGATTGGGTAGGGCTGGGAACAAGGATAGGGTGGACTTGGGCCCACATGACACATAGATGGAAGGCTTTCGGCGGAACCGAACGATCGGGTCGGCGGGGGCCTAAGAGATCGGCCGTGGGCTCGAGAGCGCACGTGACTAAGGTAGCGGCCGGGAACGAGGATAAGCCCAGACCAAAGATGGGGGCTGGGATCTAGCACCAGGAGGTTGGGACCATGAGTGGGTCGGATTGGGAGTCACATCACAGAGCGGCAGGGACGAAAGAGAGTGATCGGGATGTCGCGGAATGAAAGGATGAGCTCGCAGCGGGACGCAACGGACTGATACCTGAACGAACATCGCATGTCTGCTCTATGCTTTCGCTCATAATAACCCACATCACGTCTATCGGCTCTACAATCTCTCCCCTAGGGAGCATTGGTGGCACCATGCTGCAAGAAGTAGGCCTGCGTGTCCATTCACCCCATCACTCCATATTTCTGCATCCCTCCTTCCCTTTATCCCTCTATCTCTCTATCCCTTCATCCCTATATCCCTCCAGCCTGTTCCTCTGCTACTCCTCCATCATTGTCTCGTGAGCTCCTTCCTCGTTGATCTGTGCTGCAGGAAGTATGCGTGCGTGGGCGACCTGAAGCGCACCTACACGAACATGTACGTGCCGAGCGACTTCTTCCACGTCGGCTACCGCTGGCACGAGGGGTTCCCGCTGCATTTACCGGCCGTTATTGCAGTTTCAGACGGCTACGCCGTGCACTTGTACCTCCACGTGATGCCGAAGGATGCCGAGTTGGCCGCGCGAGTATGATTGGTGCGCCGTCAAACTGACGCGGACTGGCTCGTGAGCCGTCCGGATCCCAACCACGTCTAACTCCCGCCAAAGGTGAGGTGCCAGGGGGGGGGAGGAGTGCGTGGGGGAGGTTCTCTGCGGGTGGGGGGGGGAGGTGTGGTGGTGGGTGTGCTGTGTGCATGGTATCTTGATGTGGGGGGAAGAGGTGTCGTGTTTTGTGTGTGTGTGGGCGGTGGCGGTGTGTGTGCGTCTGTGGATGCCGTGTGTGTGCGTGGCGTGTGCGTTGTGCGTTGCCCGTGTGCGTGTGCTGTGCGTGTGCGTGTGCGTGCGGTCAGTGTGTGCCTGCGCGTGCAAGGCGTGGTCCTTCCGTGTTTGAACCCGCCCCGATTCCAACCACGTCTCCTCCGCCAAAGTGAGGCGTGCGCGAATAATTGTCACAAAGGATAAGTCATCG